CACTCACTCCCTCCCCCAGAGTGGGAGGAAAGAGAGAATCATGACAGTAAAGGTTGTGGGTTGAGGTTAAGACAATTTAACAGGTAATACAAAAGGTGTGTGAGCAAGCAAAGTGAAACCAGGAATTAATTCACCACTTCCCATGGGCAGGAAAACGTTCAGCCATTCCCAGGAATGTATGGGTCCATCACAGAAGAGAGACTTGGGAAGACAAATGCCACCACTCCAAATGTGTGTCCCCTCCCCCACTGCTTCCTCCTTCTTCCCTCTGATTTACGTTCAGCACGAAGCCATGTGGTGTGGGATATGGTGTGGAATGTCCCTGGCTCAGCTGGGGTCAGCTGTCCTGGCTGTGTCCCCTCCCAGCTCCGTGTGCAGCCCTGGTCTCCTCACCGGTGGGGTGGGATGATGGACAGAAAAGGCCTTGGCTCTCTGGAAGTGCTGCTCAGCAATGGCTAAAATATCCCTGAGCTACCAGCACTGTTTCCAGCACAAACCCCAAACACAGCCCCACAGCAGCTGCTGTGAAGAAAATGAGCTCTAGTCCAGACAAAACCAGCACATGTGGATAGGAGCTGTTCCTCACTCAGATTAAAATGCTGATGTCATTCACCAGAATTAATGATTCTATGTGTGGTTTTCACAAGATGGCTTTTTAATTCCAGTTGTATTGCAGTGACATTCAAGCAAAGATTTATTGGAAACTAAATGTAAAACACCCACTGCTTTGTTACAAATGAAGTAGAGGAATAGCAGCTGGTTTTCCTGCAATCCCTGCTCTTTAAAACTTTCCACCTACTGCATCCATCTTTATTTGTACTTGGGTATAAATCGTGGTCCATTTGCTTCTGGAAAGAAAATGAAAATTGTTTTGATAAAGATTTTACCAAACCCTGTATTTTAAACATGAAATTCAGTTCTCTTTTAGGAGAAGAATAGTAGAAGAGGAAGGCAGGAGGGATGCCACACAGAACTGTAAGTTTTGCTTTAAATGTCAGCCAAATTAACATTATGGGACATAACACACCTCCTAATTAAAAAAACAAACAAACAAAAACCACAACAAAAACAAACAAACAAAACCCAACAAATAATAATAAAAAATACTCTAATCTACTGACATTGAAGTATCATCAACTTCAGGATTAAATTGATCCTTTAGAAGCTAATAGAGCCAAACCTCTTTTTTAAAGTTCTCCTTAACAATTGCAGCTGCTTCAATTCTGTTTAAAACCAGATCTTGTTTTATTCATGCATGCATAGAATGAGGCCAAATGCTTGGGGACAGGGGTTCCAAGGGAATAAGTGATCCAATGAGCCATCTGCACACACATCATGCCTAATCAGGGTGAGGTGGGGAAAATAAAAATTATTGGATTGTTAAAATATTGAAGTTTGGGGACCTTTTTTATTTTATGTTTTTTTGGTGAAGATTAATGAATTATTTAAGCTAGCGGTAAGAAACATGCAGTTACATTACTTGGGTAATTTCCCTCTCTGCTGTTCTCTGGAGCCATCTATTTCTCTGCATTTATATAGTCCACTCAAAGTCTATGGAACAGAAGAGGATAATACAACACACAAATATTTCCAAAATTATCAAAATGGGCATTAATTTTTGCATGATTAAAAGAGAAAATTCAAAATACTGAGAAATACTAGTAAAAGGAATTAATTTCTTTTAGAAGGCCTCAACCATGAGTCTTCAATTTTCTTCTGTCTCAGTGTCATTGACACAAAAAAAACACTTGGAAAATCTGTGGTCATGCAAGTTTGACTCTTCAGGTAAATTGAGGATTGTAGTGCTCTTTTTGCATGTTAGCAGCCTTTAATTCTGTGCACATGTGAGTTTAAATGTAAGCTAAGCATGCATTATTGAATAGATGGAATTATTTAGGAAAGAAAGGGAAGGAGTGGAAGAGCCTAACAGAAGGATGAACATCAGAAAATAAATTTCTGGTTAAGATTATGCAGCAAAAAATCAGAATCCTTTGCATATCAAGTGCTTTCTGCTAAAGAAATTCCCTTTTAAAAAGGTCTCTTTTAAAGTAATATTAAATGGGAGCACCTCAGGAGCATATCAATGAGCAGCTGTTAGACCTCTCTCCTGGGTAAGCAGGCTCTTATGCCTCCTGTCACGTGCTTGAGCAGATAGGTAGGCAGAAATAGGGTAGCTTTGTGCTATTTATTATATTTTCAAACCTATGAGAAATCAGTATTGTCAATATATACTAGAGGAAAAAAAAATTAGAAAAGAGTTGTCTGAGAAAGCCCAGGTTTAGCACTGAGCAGAGAGCTAGAGGTCACACTATGTTAACTGCATTAAACGAAGTGTTCTTCCTGGTTCATAAAATCAGTATTTCTTAAAAATTTATATTCTCAAATATTCAGAGCTTCATGACTCACTATTGCTTCAAGAGCAGTTGAGCTAAGAGCTGCTTCCATAAAATACTCTGTATTTGGATGAAACAATATTTTTTGAGAGAAGTCCTGTTGTGAAAACCTCTTAAGCATGTCAGGTCAAAATCAAGTCTCTGGTCCTGAAACAGAACTATTTTAGTCAGCGGGATTTCATCAGTGCAGCTCGGAATAGAATTTGCCCATTAGCATGTTTAAAGCATTTGCTCACTGCCAGAGTGCTACCTTAATTCACTTTCCCGAATAAACTTCAATTTCAGCACTCAAAAGCAATTTAATATTGTGGGAAAATGAAATTATTTCAATCATAATATGAAGAAACAGAAAGAGCTAAGTAATTGCAAATGAAATATAACTAAATAAAGATGTTATTTATTTTTGAAACTTCCAAATGTGTGCTACGTGTTTGTAATAGAGCATATGGCCCCTTCTTGGCCTTAGGGATTTAGAGCTAGCTCTGCTTTGGCTGAACACAAATGCTGGAAATCAGCTAAAGAACACCAGTTCTAGCTGAAGAATGACATGGGAGCCGTCCCACAGGAGGAGGGGAAGAAGAAACAGGCTTCCTCTAGCCATCTTTATGAGCACCCAAAGGTTGAAATGGAATTTTTGCCCCTATCTAGTGAAATTAATTTTTTTTCTGATACTGGAATTAGCTGTAGAGTTTGTCTGGGAAGGAAGATGAAACCTTTATTTCATTATCTGGATGACCCTATTTACTCAAATTGTAGAGAGACAACTGAGTGGTCAGAGCTGATAATTACATGGAACTAGGTGAGATCAAGCTACTGAGTTCAAGCAGAAAGATAGAAAATGTTACTGTCTAGAATGAATATAAGAGCCAAGAAAGGTGTTATAAAAGAGCATGACAAGCAACTGTAGGGCCAGGCAGACATTACAGCGATGTAAGATAGTGTATCTTCCTAAAACCACTTAAAATAAACCAACTCAAATTGCTTTGCAGGAAGATAGGGGTTCTCATGCTCAGACTCCTGATGCTTCATCTAATTCAGACTTCACCTGAGACTTCAGATGGATACTTCGTTACCTGATCTGGGCTCTGCAACAGGTAAAGAAGGTAGTAAAAATTCCTAACCAGGTTATGGCTATGTGTACCACAAAACAGAAATGAAGATTAATTATTATGTGAAGCAATTATTGAAGCAACCTAATACAATCAGATAATTTATCGAATGGTCTGTGTTTGCCATCTAGTGGTAAAAGGCCGACATTTTTTTTCTGCTGCATGAGGGCAGATACAACTGCAGAAATCTGTCTCAGAAGCAAACCTCTCCTGCACGGAAATATTCCTGCTCTCAGGATGATGGAGGTGATACTTGTACCGCTGTTCTTTCAGGAACCACGAGCAGAAATTTTTCTGGCCTTGGCCCACCAGATTTAGGACTAGGTCATCGACAAATTAGTAAGGATTATACAGTAATTAATTGAGCTGTAGCTCCAGTATCCTGGTTACTGCTCCAGCCTTCCGATCTTGCAGGTGCAGATTCTAAGAATATTCAGGCACCCAGCTTTTCACTGCTTTCTGTGAGAATTGAAGCAACTAAATATCACAGGGTTTGAGATTATATTCTTACATCTTGTAAACCACACTTATAAAACCCTCAGCTAAAGACCTTCCAGATTTCTAGAGGTTTTAACTTTGCTTTACAGCATCTCTGTATGAAAACATGATTGTTTTCCAACCAGAAGACTGATCTATAATGAAATTAGGAGCTCATTAAAAAATTGTGCAGGGAATACATACCATTCTGGAACTGAAACACCTACACCCAAATATGAGCTGTCAGACCAGTTTTTTTCTCTTAAAACATTTAAAGAATATTTGAATAAATAATTAAGTAAAAGGATTAATTTTATTTCTCAATTATGTCATAGAGTAAATACAAGAAAATTAATAGAAATATATTTTATCAGAAAAAAATTATATACAGCGTGATATCTAATCATACATGTTACTCACCTGGATTTCTTGCTATCTGTATCTATCAACAACAAAATAATTATATATTGATTTTCACCATTAATAAGGAACTTTAAACTAATTCCCACACCCCAATTATATAGCAAATATTTTTAGGTTTAACTATTAAAAAAACAAATCTAGAAATTCAGAGTTGGAGTTTTCCTAATATCTTTGTGATTCAAAAGAAGTTCTTCCTGGGATTTTCTGTTCTAACTCATACAGAATTTTTTGTAAGCCCTTTTCACAAGTCACAATAAATGAGAACAAAGCCATAAAAACTGTATAGAGAACAAATTCCAGTTGACTAAAACAAAGATTAACAAGATTGAATTAACTTTACGATGTAGTGTTAATCATATTAACACTAATATGATTCTGGGAAGTGTATTTATACAATAACACCACATATATAACAAAACATGTGGAAAGAAAAAAAAAATTACATGCTATTAGCTATGGTCCCTTCTTTAAAACAAATTATTGAATCTTCTATTTATTGAACAGCTGCTGCATTCACTCTTTCATTCATCCACTCCCTCAACTGTTATTTATGTAATTAATTATTCAATCAATTGTTCACTGAGGGACCGTATATGATCTATGTTTTACAATTGACCTCAAAGAGCGAGGCAGCTGAATGCATCCGATAGAAAATAGAAAAAGGCATCGCAAGGTTCACAACAATTATCCAGGGTTCAAAGCCAAAAACTATTTCTTCTAGTCCATTGTCATATTCCGGGCGGCACCCAAATGCCGGTGGTATCCACAGCTGCAGGGAAAGAACGCGAGGCCAATATTAATCACCAGCGGTACTAGTCAATAGCCCTTAATGACTGTGACTCCACAAATTGGTTTCAGGAATCCCTAAGAAATCCCTCCCTGTTGCTACTGGGGCATGCTGGTGGAAGAGGGTTTCAGTTTCTGCTGCTGCTACAGTTTTTGGACCATTACTGAAAGGAGCCTCCCATATTCCACATTTAAATAAACTTTGTCCCCCAAAAGCATATTCACCTCTTCCAGAAGTAAAAATTGGTGTCTACAAACTATAGAACCATGAAATTTTAATACATTTATCAGACTTGAAAGGATGGGGAGCTGTTGGGTATTAACTTGTGAACTACATTCAAAATGTCTTACCGAAAGGTTGCAGAGGAATAAAAATGCAGCGATGTTCTTCAAAATTCTCCTCTTGCTGTTAGTAACTGAGTTTCTACTGTAAAATGAGAAATCTGAGGCTGACTGCATGACCAAACTATTGTCCTGACTCGTTTCTTCTCTGGCAACATCAGCACCATCGTTTTCTCTCCCACAGATGCTGCCCTTAAACAGACAGGGTATGTCACCACTGTCACGAGCAGCTCTGCCAGTGTAAACCTCTTTGTACAAGGGGGTGAGGGACAAAGCGCTCCCCCGAGATATGGTCACTATTCGAAGAGTTTTAATGTCGTCATTCACCTTTTCCTGCTCACGGTGGATGGATTCAATGATAAAGAGGTTCTGAATGTATTTCTCAATAATGACCAGAACGGAGTAGGGCAGGTTATACCAAGTGTATTTGGGATGACCTTGGGCACAGATAATGGCGAGGATCGAGCCCCAGGAGAGCAGCCAGGACCCTGCAGCTGTGCCCACCAGCAGTTCGGCATCCAGTTTTCGAGCAGGATTCTTGGAATTATCCAGCGATCTATCTTCCAGTCTGTAGATGAGAAGGGCAACGATTCCAGCAGTGCACATGAGAGCCAGCACAAAGATAGCGTGCAAATAAAACATAGTGAGGGCTAACTCGCTCTTGATTTTTGAACCTCCAATCTGAATTAAATACACGACAACTATGGCTATTGTGCTAGTTAACACGATTAGTCCAAAAATCATTCCAACAGTTATGCCGTGGAATTTGAATGGAGTTTTGTTTTGCTGGTGGTGCTCAACTTTACGGCCAATGTTCTTCCACAGGACGTAGAGCATGGTGGAGGCTAGGATGTGGTACTCTATATTAAAGGGATATAGGTAATATATTCCTTGAGAAAATATTGAGCAGAGAGTTGTTGTTGTGCAATTGCATTGAGGTGCATGATCATCTAGAACTAAAGAAGGAGAGATTAGTTGTGTGCATTATAAAGATTCCTTGGTTTAAGTGAATAAATAAAACATAAAATAATGAAACACAAAAGGTAAGATTTCAGTCAAACAACACCCAGCTACCCACCTAAGAAAAGGCCCCACTTCTCCATGCTTCACTGGAGTTTAAAAGCAGAAGGCATCCCCAGCAATTGTCACAGAATGGCCTAGGTTGGAAGGGACCTTCAAGGTCATCTGTTTCAAACATCCCTGCCGTGGACAGGGAACCTTCCTCTAGACCAGGCTGCTCAACGTCCCATCTAACCTGGCCTTGAACATTTCCAGGGATGGAACATCAACAGCTCCTCTGAACAACATATTCCAGTGCCTCAGCACCCTCTGAGTGAAGAGGTTTTTCTTTATATCTTCTTTATTCTAAATGTTTGTTAAATACAGCTTGCACCATCTTACCAATGGAGAAAATGATGCATTACTAAAAGAAAAACACCCGGAGTGAAGTCTTTGTCTTGTAAAACAGCACTAATGGATAACTTCTATCCCTGTAAGCCATCCCACTGAATCGTGCAGGATCACAGGCTACATGTAATGATTCTCCTGGGAAAGATTTGCAAGATTATCCATGCTTGTTTTATAATTAATAACTTAGTAAATAGTAAACCCTCATTTTAACACCTCTATGTTTATTTATTACTGTGATTTAGTAACAAAATAGTTCCTTAGTGATGTTCCTCAATGATGTTATTCCTCAAAAGAAATGTTCTTTAAAAATCTATTTGCTTGGAACTTATAAGAAAACTACTGCCTTGATCACATATATGATAATGATCATATAACATTTTAGCATCAGCTAATTACCAGAATGACTGTCCCAGAATGCCCCAGAATGACTATGCTGACATAGTCATGAATGACTCAGCTACATCTTACAGTGACAGTATTTTGTATGAGTGTGCTAATGCAGGAATTTCAAGATGCACCAATTCTTTTGCTTACCTATAGTTATGTTCCCAAAACCAAGAGTGATTAGTCTTTCCTTATGTTCATTCAATTGATGTTTTGACTCCGTTAACACACCATTTGTCCACAGGAGCAAATTTGTGAAAACAGAATGGATAACACCAAACCTACAAAATAAAGTAACTATTGAAGGAATCTGCACAGACTGTATCTTGTAAAATATGTGAAATGAAATTAAATGAAATGAAATGAAATTAAATTAAATTAAATTAAATTAAATGGATTAAATTTCTATGTACAGGCTACATGGCACTATTTGTTTGTTGGTGCAGGGAGAGGGTTGAAAAATAATCACCAGTCTCTAAAGATATTCTGCAGTCACTGAATATCAGACTTCCAAAACCTTACAGAAATGCAATGTATAAAATGGCATAATGTATTAAACTATTAACAGGATGCTTTTATTATTTCTTATATGATGGGTTTTATTCTTTGGGCTGGACAAGCTTCATGTCAGTGATTGAACAGTCTGAACAGGATGAATTTCTTTGCAAACCATATTTCAAAGCCTTCTGCAGTGCTCCTTCATATTCTCTGTGTCTGATCTTTCTTCACAGACACCACTGCCTTCTCCAGCTTCTGGCCCATGCATTTTTATCTCTTGGAGAGAGCTGAAGCTAACAGAGGGCTTTATTCCATTCAAAGTACTGGTACAAATGAGGGTAGGTCTCCGTGCATTTTTGAGACTCCTGGCCTCTGACAAGCCATTTCAGCTTGGTGAAACAGAATGGCATTGGAGAAAGAAATGTATTCATGGTTCTGAACTTCACAGTAAAATCCAGACAAAAAATGTCCTTCATTGCCAAGCAGTCGCTTTTTTGTAGGAGGTTATTTATCTATCTCATTCCTAGGCACAATCCTTTCATGTACTGATGCCAGGTGTCTTCCTGCACCCGAGGCTGTTCATGTTTCTTCACCAAGAAACAGTTCTTTATTACAACATTGTTCTCAGTGATAAACCTGTTAGTGAGAATTTTTTTACATCTATTTATAAACAGACCTGATAGCACCAGCTGACATTGCAAAGCTTTCTCTCTCTTCTTGAGCATGGGGTTTGAACACTTATCCAAGAGAGCAGAACAAATGGAAAACCTTCATCACAGATGATGTTTCTAAGCAAATTTATTTTACCTCCTATAGAAACTGGTCAGACCATTGATAACTTGAAATAAGTACTTTGAAAATTACCATGTTTGCTTCCATTATGTTCTATGTACAGACTGATTGATACACATTAATCTGCCTTCCCACAAAACCAGAAAAGACACTGGATCTGATTTGCTACATAGGATACCACCAGGGAGGTTGTGCTTCCAAGTGCATGTGCACAGCTGCATCTACCGCAGCTGTGAGGTGTGGTTGACATGCCTGAAGGATGGGGTGCCAGAAGGACCTGGATGAGCTTAGGAATTTGCCTTATGAGAACCTTATGTGGCTCAGAAAGGCCAAGTGCAAGGTCCTGCACCTAGGTCAGGGCAAGCCCCAGTATCAACATGGGCTGGAAACACTCAAGGCTGGTTTGGATGGACCTCTGAGCAACTGGATCTAGTTGAAGGTATCCCTGCTTATTGCAGAGGGGTTGGACTAAATGACTTTTAAAATTTTCTTCCAACTCAAACTATTCTATGCATCTAAGACCTAGTTTTAAAAATATGCTTTCCATAAAATACCTCAGTTACATTGCTTTGACTGCAATGGTTGGTGATACAGGTTCTCTTTCAGTAGGTAAATAAATAGAACATAATATAGTGCATTGTTTTAAAACACATATATGATGCTTCCTTCTTAAGTGATTCTGTGGTACCATATATTGCCATTTTCCTCTCTCATGAGAAAAATGTATGTATTCTGTCACTATTTTGTATTTAAAAATACCAATGCAGGTTAAATAAAGGTAAATGGAGTTATTTTCTATTTAACTATTCTATTTCTTTCTACTTAATGCAATCAAGAGGAGAATCAACCTCTATATTTTCACTGTCCCTCATACAATAAAACTTTGGTGTTAAAGCACTGTGCAGACCTACACCTATTAACATGCCAGATGAGGATCAGGTCCACTTTACCTTTCAAGTGTTTTGAAAGACTGGATAACATCTTTGGCATGACACCACAGAAAGTACACCTAAATGGAAGGAAAAAAAAGAAAGGTCATTACAGTAATGAGCATGTGTTATGCTCAGAAAGGAAAGTGCACATGTAAATTCCAAATTCTATCTTCTAAATTCTATTCTAATTTTTAAAACTTCTGATAATTTAAATGGAGACAGCTCCATCTCCACACATGTGAAAGAGCTTATGATTTCCTGTGATATTTACAAAGAACTTGAGATTTCTTACTTGAAAAATCAGTGGCTTAACAGTAGAAAGTCTAATTATCACTCACCAAAACATATTTTCCTTCTGTATCTGAAGAGACTTTTATTTCAATGACAAATGAAATAAAGCCACTGGTTGTGGATAGAGGTATGATTGCTGCAGGGCATGGTGATGCTAAGTTTGAATAATTTATGAAATATATTAAATTCTATGGAGGGAAAGAGATTGATGAAAGGATGCTAGACTTGCCTAATAAAACAACAGATGCCCAGGAAGCATGAGAAAAGTTTGTACTAACTGCCTGAGACAGTCCCATTAAGAGCACAGCAGTGGCACTCAAGGATAGTGCAGAAAACTCAAACAAGGTAGTAAAGAGAGAGAGAACAATAATGAGTCAGCAAATCAAGGACAGAGGAATAAAATTAGAACTCTCTGTTTGTGAGAGCATAATGGAGACCTCAGAAAGAGATTGCTGCTGATACAAAACCAAGTGTGGGTAGGTTCAAGACGAAGTATATCAATATTCCTCAGGGATGTTAGGGTGACACTGGGAGTTTGTTTACTCCCAATAGTTCCAAGGATACTGAACTAGTCCATAGGTGAACTATCAGGAGAGGAAGAGCCCTAAGATTTCTCTTAGAAACCTGCCTGTTTTGGTGTTCCAGAAATGGTCTGAAAAGTGATAAAAACTTTGGGTTCTTCAGCAACCAGAGTAACTGGAAGCCCATTTTTCCACAGCATCCATTACTCTAGGATGCCTTCACAGCCATTGTTTCTGAGGCATTCAATGTCTTAATTTGGAAAAAGCTAGGCAAATGCAGTTCTTTATGGCTCACCTATGCTACCCAGCAATAACAATTCCTCTAATAAGCATTTATCATTGAGAGGAATGGCTGCTGTAAAATCCTAGGTGTAAAGACTAAAATATTTTGTGTAGGCTTCAACTGAAATCAAATTGAAATTACTTCAGTCTCTAATGCCATATTCAATTTCCCATCCTGGGATAAATGCAGTAAAATCTGCCAGCAGATCTGAAACCATTTTTTAAAACTTATAAAAACTTTTGAAGATTTGATCAGACACAAGCTAGTGGGAAGAAATAGGAAAAGACAGTGAAGAAATAGCATAAAATCCAGTTTTTGCCCATAGAATACTCCTTGCCTCCAGGGGACTTCTGCCTGCAGAAGAACATAATGCACAGCCTGCCCTGGGAGGGCAGGTACATGTTAGTTCATTCATGGGTGCAGAACATATATATTAATTTCATGGCATGTATCAGGATGCCTCAGAGTAAATGACAACAGAATCTGATATATATATGGTAGAAAACAAATTATTTGGTTTTTAGATGACACATATTAAGGATGTACCCTGCTGTGATTTCATCCACTATTTCAAACACATGAGAAGATTTGTCTTAGGTAAGAGGTATCTGGTTAATTACTTTTTAAATTTAACTTTTTCTTTGACTGCTCAGGCTAGCACTCAAGTGTTCATTATTTTAAGCTTTGTAGATGACAAATTCAGTGAGACTGGGTGATGTAAAATTTAAATTAGAATTCTTGTTGCCTTTGTTGAGCATTTTTATTCACCATTTTTCCACACTCCAGTTCATGATGGCTGGAAACCTTGTCAGCTCTGGGTCACTGGCTGTAATGAAGAACGATGTGTTCAGATCAGTGCGGCAGAACTCTTAATTCCATTGGTTTGTTTTTCAGAGATGAAGTAAAGAAGTTTCAAGACATGGAGAGTGGATATTACAAGAATGTGAAAATAAGATTACTTCAACCAACTCAGAATTTCACCCTCAGAGAAAAACATAGATGGGGTGAGAGTTTAAATTTCAATCTTTTTTTTTTTTTTTAACTGTTGAATAAAGCAGAAAAATGTAGATTTTTCAAAAGCTCGTTTACATGCAACGCCAACTGCTAGGAAAACATTTATTTTCTTTCTGAATGACTTAAACCTCTTGGAAATTTTATAAAAGTGCCTGGCTATGATTGAGCATCTCAGTTGAGTGGCTTTTTCTTTCCTTCTTCCCTACAAACCTGATGACAGGAGTTCAGAAGAGTTAAAGTGAGAAACAATCAGCTATGGAGGGTCACCACACACTGTAGACCTAAAGCCTCATAACAAGCAGGCAGCTGGAATATTTCACAGGATTCACTGACTATATTTGCTACTGTGCAGCCACTGATAAGAACACTCAAATGCTTCTATAAGAAACATCCACGTTCATTCGTTACAGGAAAGTTGTGCAGGTGTTGTACAACCAGCTAGGACGGGGTTTGTCCCCTTTAAGTCACCAAGCCTGCACCTCTAACCACAATGGAAATACAGGTTAGACAGATTGAATTGAAATTGTGTGGCAAGTCCTACATACATAAACAAGGAAATTGTCTTTAGCCAAAATACTCATTTCAGCCTGAAAATTCTGAAAATTCCTTATGTAATTTCAAGTAAACAAAAAGTCCACCTAACTTCAACTACAGGAGAACATTTTCTTATTCTTTTTTTCAAACCCATGTTTGAAACCCATGAATTTTATGGCTAAGAAACTTCAGGTTGCAAATCTCGAATTTACTATACATGCACAAGCATTTAGTCCGCAAAAGTATTCTGTGATATGCTTAGAAATAAAATTAGTGTTATGTCCACTGATGACAAAATAAAATATTTTTTGGTAAGAAACAGAAATTAATACAAAACTGCAACCAGTGACTTTTACCTGTAAGATGGTGTGGACAGCATGTGCAACAGGAAAAATACCTTCAGTTGGTGATAAACAGTTTGAAAAATCAATATAATATCCAATTTTGAAGGAGTCCAGAATTAAAGTAATCACTGCAAATAATGTAATCCCACCTACAAATGAAAAATATATTAGAAAATTTTAAGGTATAGTTATAGTGTCTAGACACTATTTGTAAAATACACAAAAATCTATTTAGGAGAATAAACTTGATCAGTATCTGTGTTGTTGTTTAGGGAAATAAGACTATATCAGTGCTCATGAAGATAATTGACTCCATTAAATAAATGCCTCTAATTTGGACAGCCTCCACCCAGTAGGTTAAGCAAGGTCATCACTGGGCATCCCCTGCATGGTCAGTGAGGAGTCGCCAGCCCTGCAGTGCCCAGCAGTGCCCAGTTCTGGGCAGGGTCAGCTCCCAAGTGACAGTGGCACTGCAGCAGCCAGAGAGAGCATGAATGACTGCTCTCAGCAGCCCCACAGCAAACTGGGCAGTCCTGGGGAGCCGAACAATCACCTTACAGTCTCCCAGCCCAAAAGCTGTGGGAAGTAACACAATCACTTGGTGTGCCCTCCCCATGCCTCAGGGGTCACGCTTTAACTCAGAGACCACAACCACAACAAGATGTATGGTTTGTTCTCTGAGAAAGGAACAAAAGATTAAATTTCAGTATTTATATTTCACACATACACAAAAATATCTTAATATATTAGTCTAAATAGCCAAAAAAACTTTGAAATATATTTCCCTTTGTTTATTTTGTTGTTGTTGTTATTATTGGTTTAGAACTGTATGACTAAGGACAACTGGCTGCAAGATTACTAAACCAAACTCTAAGGCCCCCATTTCCTTGGTTTTGGTTTGTTTTGAGGGTTTTTTTTGTGTGGTTTGGTGGGGTTTTTTCCTTTTTATTTTTTAGGCTTTTATTCCAGCAAGTTTCACTGGATTTAATTTGGACATATTTGAATGAAGACTAGATAAAAATTTATCCATGTACCTTAACCAGACCTTACAATACAAACCAGCATCTGAATCTTTCTTTACAATTCCTCACAGAGTAAATAAAATCACTAGTGTTGACTCTGATGAATATTTTTCTTTTATATGGGGCCACAACCAAACTTCCATATAAGCACCATGTGTTCCACTTGACATGTGGTAGTAAAAATGTAACAAAAATTAAAATTTTATTTAATTAATACCCTATTGTCAAAACTGCATTGATAAAAATTAAGTAGAAATTATATAAACACACTGTAATTTTGTTTATTATTTCATTGACCCTTTAAAATTAAACAAAAATAGACTCCAGAAACCTTTTTAATCACAAAGGTATGAATTCCAATAGGATTTTATGGTTTTGTTTTAAAATCTGTCTATAATAAAAACACTATCAAGTGTAATTTCTACCAAGAGCTAAAAACTTTTGCTTTTATATTGCAAAATCTAAAACCTCAGCTCTGCATGCATGTGTATAAACCCAAATATTTTTTAAAAGTTATTCTTCTAAAGTCAGCTAATTTGTGTTCTAACACATGTAACAGAACTGGAGCCCACGTTTTTAAATAGAGGTGCCATTCATGGTGTATGAAAGTAGAATGATATCATAAAATACAAAATTATAGGCTACTCTTGAGATCAAATTATATGTTTCCTTCCTTACCTAAAGAATGTTAATAATTCTGAAATAAATTAGAATTTCTAGTTCTGATTATATAATTATAAATATAACTGATTATAAATCACTCTACCTGAGGTAACTAGACATGCTCTGAGAAAGGTGTTAGACTGGATGACCTTCATAAGTTCTTTCCTACCTGAATATTTCTAAGATTGATTTTGTGACTTATGGTTTATTTAGAAATATGCAGGAAACAACCTATTTGTCTGAAATGCATCAGTTTGAGGGATTTCACATGTGTTATGATTATTTCAATAAGAAGGCAAAAGCTATCTTCTGAAGCAAAAAGATGATAGATTACTGACCTCCAGGGATTAGAAGACTTTACATGACTCTTAATTTTAGATTGTTTCATTTATTCAGATGATATTTAGATATTTCTGCAATCACCCAGGTGGCCACACTACAAGTGTATACAAAGTGTCCAATATGCTTATTTATGGGCTTTGAAAGAGAATGATTGTACCAATTTTCTTAGTCAAAAATCAAAGCACAACCATAATGACCATGCATATGGTATGTTAATAGTTTTTCTGTCAACTTTTTGTAATGGAAACTTCAGTAGTATGTACTAATACTAAATGGAGACCAGTAATTTCAAGGAAGATAATTCCACTGCATGGTTATTTACATTTAAAATTTTAAGAAATGTGAAATTATTGTTCTTGAGTGCTGTTTCATTATTTTTTCTTTTCAAATGTTCATTGAAGTCTGTGTGTCTTAAAGATCAATAATAGGATTTTCAATATTGCTAAGTGCTGGCTCATTTCTTCCTAATAACCATAAGGAGAACAAAAAAACCATAATGATACAATTGCAAAAATACCACTCTCACTTTAAAATATTGTTCAAATAATTGACAATTCAATGCAGGCAGTAAAAAGAAACAAGTTGAACTATGTCAAGAGCTTTTACATTGACCAGTTGTCAATGCTTTAAACACAAACTGTGCTGCTAAAGAATGTGATAAAATAAAGCTGTTTATGAAGCAAACTGATTTTTGTTTTGAGTTCTCTGGTTCACTTCACTGAACTTTCCTAAAAATGGTCAGAGAGCTTTTCCTAGCAGGAGAGCATACTTAGGGCAATAACATTTGGAATAAGTCAAGGAAAGACTTTCTAAGGTACCCGTGGTTATTTGGGTCAGGATAACTGTGTCGTATTAAAGACAGCTCTGCCACAAACTTTTCCCACATTCTGACTCTAGGAGTGGTTCTTGGCCAACCATGAAGGTGGGAAGACAACCAGGCTTGAGGGTTCATACAATTGACACCTTGGTGCAGAAAGGCTCAAGGAAACCTTCCTGTGAGCAGTTCTTGCAAACTGATCATCTGTCCTTCTAGCATTGCTAAACATGTGCAAGGAGTCAGTTATAGGAGGTTTTTGTTAAATCATTCCATTTCAACTTTTGTCAGAGCAAAATGGTCTAAGCAGGCAACTGCCACCACTTTTACTAAAATGATATTTGCCAGTTTGAAAGGATTAATGAAAATACACTCATTTTATACTGTTTAATACAAGGATATTTGCTCTTACAATTACAGCAAGGAGATGTTCTTCAAAAGTAGCTGATAGAGCTAGTAAAAAATTGCAGAAAACTTTCCATGGAAAAACTCAAACAAAATATGTCTGTCCCACTCCACCCTCTCCTTTCCTTTTTGGACTTTTGATCTTTCAGGTAAAAGATTTCTATGGCAAAAGCACTGATAAAGAGGAGAGCAAGGGAGATCTTGGCAGAGGAATTGTCACCTGAGTTTTTCCTTAGCTCAAATAAGTTTTCTTTTACCAATAGAGGATAAAGGAGTTGTACAGACTTGTTGTAACTACAAGAAACTACCAAGAATAGGAAAGTGTAGGTCATTCCCTAAGGGCAAATTTGTTGAATTGCAGCCTAGACATCCAAGAGAAGCCATTGGAAGCTACACCACTTGAGAAGCCAGTACAAAGAGCCATCCTGTGCTGGTAAAAGAAATGGATAAGGTAACCTAGTAGTTCAATCCAGGATCTTATTTCTAAGTTTCTGTGTCTCCTTATATTCTGTAGGACAAATGAAATGCTGTGAATGCAGCACCAAAAGAAAGAGGGCAGGGAATTCTGCTGTACTTGCCCATGCTAGGCAGTATTTATTCCATATTTAGGAGGGGAAAGCTACCCTATGAGTAACAAAAGCTTAGCTTAGTCCAAGGTAGGATCAAATTAAGCCTTACATGAATTTCAGGTGGCTGTAAGGCACATAAGCTAATAATGAAAAATGCTTGAGAGATTAATATTGCCTTGAAAAACAGTAAATAATTGAGAAGAACAATTTAACAGTTGGTATGTGAACTCCATACATTTCAGAAAAGTCTACAGACCATAGCTGTACATTAGATGTTAAAAAATATAGGCTTCTGTCAGCAATTTGGACAAATGTTAACAGTTGTAAAGAAAATAAATGATACACAAGCACTGAGATTGAGGACAAACTACATTTCCACAGCACAACTTCACTTTTCAAAATAATCAGGTTTCAGCTGTTCTTGGAATTTGCATTTTGATATTTCATTAGCTGCTGAGAAAATTAGCTGTTGTCTTGTTGTCAGTAGGTAGAAAACATTTTTTGGGAAAGCTGTCATAACATTTCACTTAAATACTTACTTTCCAATCTATCATTTACAGTTCTGAGACTGGAAGAGGATGGTAAAACTGGGATTGTCTATTATTCCTCAAGCACTGATATAGGCTGTTTGTTTTCCTTGGTGCCCAAAACCACAGCATTCCTGTCATTATGACTCTATGATGTGCCCCAAACACCTTCTCTCAATATACTTTATATCCTCACTCTGGTACGCACCTTACTGCAGATAAGGGCCAGCACATCCCACCACTACCCTTGCAAATTTGTATACTTTTTCTGCAAGCAAATGCTCAGTTTAGATTCCTTATTTAACTGTTTTATGTATTAAGAACAAACTGATCTGGTCAGGCATTTTGTCCTCTTCTACCTAACTCTAGATGTTTTGAAAGCGTCACTGTACACATATAAACAGGAATCTCTGATATACATTGTTATAGAGAGCACTTGAAGACCTTTCTGACCGGTACTACTATAAAGTAAATTGTATTATACCATCTGGAAAAGGTGATAATTCCTCCAAAAGAGCTGTAAGACACCAATAAAATTGCTTCTTCCACTAGCTATGTTTAATTTTTCAAGTTTCACCAAGCCTGACTGGTAAGGAAGAAAGGCGCCAGAGCTTTCAGCACTATAAATGGGAGGTCGGAAAGTGAGGGTGTTTAACAAACAGCTTCCCATTACAATCTCCTAGTATTATAGACGTATTCAGCTTATGCATATATTTACTTTAGAGTGCACTGCAGCATGTGCATTCAGTTCGTGAATACCAGGATGCCTCCCGGTAGGGATGGAGAGGGTAACAAAGAGGTAGCAGACACAGGTGATGGCACAGATGTCCTTTGTGCGGTACCACCCTTTGTGCCACCGGCCCGTACTTACACTTCAGCCAGCGGGCTCCGGCGTGTGTGTCCTTGTCCCGGATCAGCCTCCTCTGCGTGCAGCTCCTGCAGAGGTACCACAGCATCCACAGCAGCTGGATGAGCATCAGCGTGATGAGGTAGGAGAGCAGGTGGCTCTTGCTGATGCCCACGGCATGCACAGCCCAGGCGAAGGTGAGCAGCAGCCCGGCCAAGAAGAGGTTGATGCCGTACTGGCTGCTGAGGATCTCGGCATTTTTCTGCGGGTAGCTGCCGCCCACCGCAGGGCACCCAGCGGCTTGCTCCATCTCCCCTCCGCCGGCCAGGTGCTGCAAGCGGGCGGCCCCGCTTCCCCCGGGGAGCCCCGAGGCGCTGCTGGCCCGTCCCCCACGGCGGCGGGGGCGGAGCGGGGCCGCCGGCCGGGCCGTGCCCTGCCCGCCGGCCGCTGAGGTTTTTGCGGGACACTCTTGCCTGAGACTGACAGCAGCTGGGGTCCAGACCAGGGTAAGGAGAAGTCACTCGGACGAAGGTTAGTTTGGAGCCAGCCCTGCCCGGCTGGTTTTGGTGCGAGACGTGGGGTTACGTCGGTGTAGAGACCTGTGCGGTGTAACACGTTCTCTGCACAGGAAGATGCGAAAAACACCGAGTGTTGCACAAAACCCCGGCCCGACGGCTGGAAAGCCGAGAACGGCCAAAACCTGGGAGCCGGCGAGGCTGGAGCCTGCCCTGCAGCCAGGGAGCCACCAGCTGCTGATGGAGCTCCTTCCACGGTGAGGCAGGGGGATCACACCCGTGCTTCACACTCTGGGCCCCACAGGCCATCTTCTTTTGACCAATCGGTACCTTCATTGGTAGGACAGAACCTCAGTTTTCAGGAATTCTCTAGACCTTTCAAAAGTGGCAATTTACCCTGTTTTTTGGAAACTGTTCCCATTGTTGTCCCGTTCTGACAGCATAGTACTATAGGAATTGCTAGCTGGAGAAGCAACTACTCAGCTCAAAGTAGCAAAACCCTCTGCAGAATTTAGTCCACTTCTTATACATTTGTTTTCCCAATATTTATGCACACTTTCAGTATTGACCCTTTTCCACTTAAATCGAATTCTCTTCACTTAAGGTATTAGAGTACTGAACATAGCTTGGAGGCCAAACACCAAGGTAGACTGGTCCTTGTTGTGGCCAAGCAGGTCTTACATTTTTGCTCTGTACCTGTTGGTTGCATATTGATTACCGAAAACATTGGTTTTTACAGTGAGTGACCCACACCTTGTATGAAATTAAGCCACCACTTCAACTACAATAAAAGTTAAAAAAAATAAATCAATTGAAAATATATCTATTTTGCTCCACTTCCTTGGCAAAGAAGTAGATTTAAGCTTTTTCTCTTCTGAAGCCAGAAATTTTATAATAGAGGGGTTTTTCTCATGTGACAAAGGACACTTTTGGACTTACATAAAAGTGTCTGGGGTTCACAAGCCTCTTAAAGAACAGGGAAGAAAAATGGCAGAAAGGTGGAATGAGTGAATTCCAGACAATCATCTATTTAGGTAAACATAAAGAAGTAGTAGTTCCTGTCCTTTATTCATTTTGTCCTGTTCTCAAGAAATATGTATTTTAAGCCATCTGCAAATTTTCCTTCTGAGGAATGCACTTAACAGGAGGTCAGCCCTATGTCTCTGTCTATATGGCCTGATAAGAGAAATAAAAATCAAAAGCATAACTAGTCAAACAGTCAGGCTTCAATCACCTCTAGGTCACAGTTACATCCATCATTATCAGAAATGGCATTGTGGAAGTGTCAAATCCTACGTTTATTTCATATGATGCAACCTTTAAAGAATAACTAAGGAAGATGATTCCATTTTACAGAGCTTTGATGTGTAATGGTGATAAATAATCTTCACTACATGGTTACTACATATTTTACTTCAAATTATCCAAGTGCATCCCTTGTCACCTGTGAAGGAAAGAGATTTGGTGCTGGTACACATCCTCATCCTGAAATGAAGCAATGTAAATGGATACAGAAGACACCTATGGTGGTCTGTACCAAGAGAATACATTCAAGGAGTTCACAGAAGTGGCAGTAGAATTGTGTCAGGTTACAACAATTAAAATAAGCATTGTTTTACGTTCCTACCAGATTTGCCACTACTTGCTTTTGAGCATGTAAGTGAATGAGTATTGTGCTGGATACTCAGATCTGTTACTGAAAAACTTTGCAGGACTTTGTACAATGAGCATATCTACCCAGGATCCTCAGAAAGACATCGAAGTAGTCAAAGGCAAACAGCTCTCCAGAGGTGAACAGCGTGCTATTACCCTTCAGTAAACCCAGCTGAGGGGGCATGAAAGACACTCAGAATCACGTACAGTATTTAAAATCTACATGAACATCTATTTTATAGAAGAAGCAGTGAGATGGGGTGGAAGTCTTCAAGAAAGTATAATTGAACAGTTAAACAATTAAATACCGAACAACTATTGGTCACTTTTGTACAAAGTTTATTAAGATGTTCAGAAGAATGAATTTGAAAAATCATGTAGCAAATAGTAATTTTAATTCAGATCACAAGGCAACTTAAAACACCTAGAGCATTTATATAGCTGACAAATAAAAATACAGCTATAAAACCATCCCTGAGCAATACTGCATTTTAAATATTATAATAAAGTTACTCAGATGTACCTGTGTATGCAGACATAAAATTGTTAAAACCTTTTAAAAGATGAAGACCTGAAGATAAGCAACTTGCACTTTAAAGATGTGAAGCATGACAGGTTTTGGCAAACTTAAATATTACATTTAAACAAATCAATGCTAACTTACCCAACAAACTGCTTCAAATAGTGCTGAATGAACTTTACTTTGGTTTGTCTGATCCTCTGTATTACATACTATTGGGTCACAACTCTTTTTCGTTAATGGAACAGTAACAGCCAAAGACAATGTGTAACCCTTTCATTACTAAACATTCCATGTGTTTAGCAATGGTGTGAATTTGGGAGCCAGAATGAAGAATGCAGTGTCTTTTGACAGTCCAGACTTTAAGCAACACTCACAAGGAGTAGATTTTAACAGGTTTCAATACACAATTTCTACATTCTCATATTTTCCAAAAGGCATGGGTGGAAAACTATTTACACAAGGATCTACATAAAGTGTTCTAGAAACTAAATCGTGCCCAGGTCTTCAGATAGTTAAGTATCTCAGTCAACATGAACAGACACCTAATAAAAATAAAATGCTATTTTATTTTCCCAACTGAGTATAACTAGTAGCTTTTAAGTTAATATCAGCATCTTCATTGCTGAGGAAGGAAAATGGCAACTTCATTAACAAGCACTGCTAAGAATGAAAAGTGAATTTACAGAAGAAAAAACAACCTGAATACTGAAAAACATTTCATACATCAAAATAATTTAATGTGTGCTCCAAATTTCTTGTGTAGTGTTAATATTGTTCATTGTATTGCTGGTTATTCACAGCTTGATTATCTACCTTTGGCTGTGGACAAACTGTATGAGCACAAGTAGAATTTATTTGTTTAATTGATGGCACTGCCAAATGTCAACCAGCTTTCCCTTACCCCTATCCATACTTTTATTTTTTTAAGTACTAGCAGATCTGAACTCAAGACATTAGATAGTAAAGTATTTCCTACATGGTAACATATATAACAGTAGAAATTTAACAGATCAAGAAATGTCTCCTGTAAGTAAGTTTACAAGTACAAACACAGGTTCCAGATAACAGTATTTTACCTGTCAATTCAAATGGAAAGAATATAGTATTAAAACCCCACAACACTTGATTTAAGTATCACTTACTTCCAAATCAAACATGATTTGAGCAGGAAGTTCAATTAGATGACCTCTGAGGCCCCCAGAGAAAATATTTAAAGGTCCCTTTCAACACTAACTATTCTATGGTGCTATTACTTACTACTCATGTGTTTAATATTCAAATATAAATAGAAGCTTTACAAAGCTTTACAAAATGAAAGGCCTCATGTTACTAAGAGATGTAAAACCTATTTATCTTCCAATTAATCACTAATCAGTTGCTTTTTCCTATGGTTATGTCCATTGATTTATACATCAAGTAGATTAAGAATTACTGTATTAGAGCAAAGAGCCAGTATTAGAAACAACAGAAGTACTGGAATGTAACAAAAGTGACACACACTTTGCAGGATTACAGTTACTTGAGTCCTTCACATGAAGCTGAAAGAAAAAAAAAAAAACCAACCAAATTTAACAAAAATCTCTGAAGGTTCTATACACTGCACAAGCTGTATCATGTACTAAATGAATTAATGATTTTGGAACACCAAGTGATAACTTGTCCCTAATTATTAGACAAATAATTATTTGACCTAATACAGAATTTTCCCACATAACTCAAGTGTTCAGAAAGAACACAGCTAATGACAGAACCAACAACATGGATACGTTTTTATCACCAAGTGTGACCCATGTACCCAAAGTAAAGAGGTTCTGAATTAAGTATTGTATTTTTCAGAAGTCAGAGTTTTGTCAGAATAGAAGTTAGTTAATTATCTCCTTAAAAATCAGGTTTCTTGATCTCTCAAAAATAGAGAGGAAAATGTAACAGTGGTTCAGTTTGTTATTAAAAAGAATAAATAAGTTTCACCATCTCAGCCATTAAACACTTTTTGCCTACAACTGTGTCAGTACAAGAGGCTACACTCTAAGTCCAGCAATCCAGCACAGTCTTTTTTTTGCTGCACTTCTAAAAATGCTGAGGGATCTCCTCACCAGGAAGGATTTGTGATGGCAAGCGAAGCCAAACAGACATCCTCCTCATTCCCTTGAGAAGTACAACAAACAAGATCTGCTGAAGGAGTAGCTTCTCTGGATGATATGAGACACCTGTGATACAGGGAACATCCTTTACCCTATTTACTGAGCTGTATTTGATGTCTTCCTTAGCTTTTTACATTTCACTGGATTAATTTCATAAATATATCCTAACCAAAGATGTGGCAGTTATTGAGAATGCATTTTTCAAGTCAACAAAACAGATGGGCTGGCCTTTTAAGAGCTCCTTTAAGAAAGAACAAAGAACTCCTCATATCTGGCAATTTTCCAAACAACAGGTTGATCTGGGCTGTGCATCACAGAAAATGAAAACAGCAGACTTGCAGACAAAGAAATGACAAAGATTTTCAATTAAAAAAAATAGAGAAGGCCTTTGCACATGGATGTTGGTATCTTCTCCCCTTCACTATGAGGTCAAGCAGCTTTACTAAGAAGTTCTCCCAGTCTAGGTAAAACCTGCAGGGTTTTGGCCTGTACATCTCCAAACTATCAATTCTCAGTAATGTTTCTTTTCAACATCTAGAATGGAATTTTAGAGAAGTGGAAAGGATATTCTTCCCCTTTGGATAACTGCAAATTCTCTGGTTACTCTATATGCCACAAAATATCACAATTCTAAGAATGTACAAAAAACATAGAGAAGGAATCCCTAAATGCCCTCCCAATCCTTAAATGTCTAACAAAGCTTTTCCCACAACAAGATAAATACATTTATGTGCTTAAAAATTTAATTATTTACCTGAAGGGCTTATCCCAGGAGTGACACAAGCATCACAACACCCATAAACTGAATGAAGAGCAACACAGGTGTAAAAAATGACCAGACAGGCCACAAGGCAACATTGAAACTGCAAATAAAAGCAGAAAGTATTTGGTAAGTTCAGTTCTCATATTACAGAAACACCAGGCATACAAAGGAAACATGTCAAAAGAAATAAGATTTAAATTACTTAACCTGGAAATATACTTCTTCATTTCTGAAAACAGAACACATCAAGGGTAAAGGGTAAAAATACATTTTACTTTCATAAAATCTGTATCTGAAGCCCTGAAAATGACCTACTCTTTGATTTTTCCATGGACATACATGGCAGCTGAGAGAAGCCTTCATCTGAACTTTCATCCAGATTTCAGTTAACTGAAGAGACAGAGGGGAAAGCCCTTATTTTACAACTGACTTACAAGAATAACAGATTTGACTAATTATAAAACATAGGGAACCTTTATTTTCTTTAATCTTCCTTTTTTTCACCATTGCAACAAATACCAACTGATACTCTGGTACAATAGCTAAACAAGAGGAAATAAATTTTCATGTAGAAAGCAAATAAATGTACTGGCACAATGTATGTAATTTTCTTCATCTACATTTGCTCAGCTCCGACTCATATGACCTCATAAGTAAAGCAACTCTCACTAAAAGTACCATTCTCAGATAAAATATAAACCCTTAAAGCTCATATGGCAATAGTCAGAAGTCTAACATTTTGTGTATGTTTGCTACTTAGTTTGTTTGCTAACGAAGAACTCTGACAGAAACTGATTGAGCTGAATTTTTTCTCAGATAGAGAGACTGCATCTTTGTCTTAATTTGTAAACTGCACAAGCAGTTGCCATAGGTGAGAAATTTACACTAACAAAGATAACAACTTCAGTTTTCCCCTAAATTTTCAAGACAGAAAAGATCCAGTACATCTGCAAGTACACCATACAGTTTCAACTGTTCCAACTCTTGCTTTGTGGATGAAAGTGCAAGAAATTATGCTATATAGAACTGATATTGTCACTAATACACATAGCAGAATTAAAGAAATTGTACTTTTTATAAAATGAGACTGTTAACACACAGACTTGCACAGGTTTAGCAGAAGTTTGCACAGTGTTTGAACTCACCAAATTGCTGCTGCTATAAAGGTAGCTGTTGTGATAGGAATCAGTGCAGGGTACTGTTCATCATAGTCCTGAATTCCACAGTACCACTCAAGATACAGTATGCAGTAAAAGGCAACAGATAAACACACAGCCAATAAACAAGTGCCACAGGAAAGCCACCAGCTGCGGGAAGAAAAGCACATTAAACCATGTTCAGCACATTGCAGTTTGCACAGTAATCTGCAGTCTACAAACAGAACAGGCAATATCTGTTAAATACACAGGTTGTGGCCTAGAGTTCCAGTAGGTTTTACCTTAAATTAATTTTACAAAACACTTTTTGCCCTTCAAAGCTGTCTAATATAAACCACTGAGTTTAATTTTGCAATGAAACATTCCTTTCATATATTGTGCCCTAAAACATGTTGGAAATTCAATGTGACAGATCTTGTCAGGAATCTACTATACCACTACACCAAAAACACTTTGTCACTAATAAAATAAAATAGGCTCCACTGCAACTGTGCTTTTCACTATAAATTAGTCTGGTGATCTTTGTGCAACAGAAATGCTGCAGAATGCTTTAATATGGTTTCAGTTTGTGAACTCCTAAATTTAACAGACAAGAAGCATGAAGATTTTTCTTTGTAACTGCTGAAGAAAACCATGGAGAAATCCAGAATTTTAAACTCAGAATCATAAAAACACAGGGTATGTAATTATTTAAGGAGACACACTTTTGAGCCTCTTTGAGGATACTCTTCAAGATTAGTTCAGATAAGGCAACTTGAGAGAAAGATGCACTTTAATAAATTTTTATCTAAACTTGTATTAACAAATAAAAATTTTGAAAAATTAATTATTACCATAACTTGGTTACTAAATTACAAAGGATAATCAAGGATTTTCCTATTCAGGTAGCATTTGCTCTGGAATGGTACAGCAAACATTCTACTTTGAAATCTTGTTACTACCAACTGAGGATTCTGCACTAAGAGAATTGTTGCCATGGCCTACCTAGACAAGCAGTGCAGAAAGACAGGGTCCCGACCCCAAATTTTGATTACACCTTGGAGTCACTGGTTTTGCTTTCACAGTCAGGTGTATGAAGGGTGTACCTAGCCTGGGAGAGCAGCTCCTGAGAACCTCACAGCACAGAGCAAGGCCCTGTGCAGCTTCCATGTACTGATATAACAATGACAACAGCAGTGCTGTTTTAAAAGCACTTCCAGCTGAAGCTATCTAAAAACATTTAACACACATCAATCTAATCGAAAGTAATTTAATAGAAAAGAAATAGATTAGAAATAAAGATTACTTCATTGAAATTATTTCACTAATCTTTTGCTGACCTACTCAAAATCATCTATAGATCTTCTAGAGAAATGAACTTCTGTTTGACCTTTAAGGAAAAATTTCAGGGGATTTATTGTAAAAATAAAACCAAAATCTAAATACTTCCAACAAAACAGGCAGCTATTTCTCGGACTTAAATGAAAACTTGAAGGTACAGTATTAAAATGTCTGGTATTAGAGCAAACTTTGCACATACAAAGATGGCTCAGTAAAGTTTATAGAGAAAAAAAAATTGTAGCAAATTTTAAGCATTGTATTTACTTTAAAATTAGTTCAATAATATCACCTTAGGTGGTCATCTGGTCCAACCTCCCTGCTCAAGCAAGCTTAGCTACTGCCAGTTGCCCAGAATCATGTCCAGATGGCTTTTGAGTATCTCCAAGGATGGAGACTCCACAACCTACATAAGGCAACCTGTTCTGAGCTCAGTCATCCTCACAGTAAAAAAGTGTTTCCTGATATTCAGAAGGAACCTCCACCATTTCAGTTTGTGCCCATTGCCTCTGGTCCTGTCCTGGACACCACTGGAAAGAGCTTAGCTCTGTCTTCTTTGCACCCTCCCTTCAGGTATTTACATGCATTGACAAGATGCCTCTGAGCCTTCTCTTCTCCAAGCTGAACAATCCCAGGTTTCTATATTCCTACTGCAGATCTTGTTCATCCATGATTTAAAATACAGTGACCAGATGTAACAAACTGAGTATGACTAAAACACACCTTTTTGTAAGAAAAGATACCTTACCTATCTGCTTGCATAGTTTCTTTAATATTTTTTAAAAAATCAAAGTAGTATGTCACAGCTATTGATGCCAAAATCCAGAATGCAGAATGAATATTCAGTCTGTTAAGAGGCCTCATCGTCTTCTCTACAGCTGTAGACTCTTCTGTAAAGGAGAACATAATTATAGCACTAAAGCCAGTCATTAAATGGAGGATGATTATAGTTATGTAAAGCATGATGCTTTATCTTTTTAATTCATTTATCTTGGGAGATTATTCTACACATCATAATACACTTTGCACTACAAATATTCTAAAAAGCTTTGAACATTTACTGAAATGAAACAGACTAAGCAAGGTACCCTTTGATAAAAGAATAAAGCAGTAACAATCAGCAGAATATCTGTGTCTTTTTAGGAAACAGCTGACTAGCTTTTATAAGCGTTAACTAATTTAAACCCTCTGGTGTTATTAAAGCATTTTTATTAATCTAGCATATAGCATTTCAGGTTATTATTTCCAATTACTAATTTATTTGTACCCTTCTTTATGAATTTTAGTATTTGCAAAAAAATTGCAGGCATAAATAATTTTCTTTTCCTCAGCTGCAGATAATTCACAAATTTTCAGCTGCAGTTTCAGGAGCTAGCTTGGCTTACACTGCACACTTTCAGCAGGTAAACTACAACTATCACTGTGCAGGAAACCTTCTCTTTTTCCCCTCATTGCCGTGTACTGTTTTAGAGAGAGTGAGACATCACAGCGAGCAGATGAGAAAGCCTTTTTTTTTTTGTCCACGACAGTAACCATGTAACACAGTATTTATACACACTGTCCAAAAAGGTGTCAGAGGTGGTTTTGATGTCTCACACTCAAGTTTTATCACTAGGAGTTCCTGGCAGCTTTATTTTTCATTTCCTAGATTCCTGCTCATCCTACTGGAGCTTGGGCCTGGAGCATTCGAGCAGTTCGCGGCTCCAAGCCCCTGGCGTCTCCCACACCGAGCTCGCAGGCAGGAGCGGACACCTGAGGGCAGACGGGGCCGCGCTCCGCGCCGCTCTACCCGAGGCGGCCCCGCTGCCGTCCCAGCGCCCGCCCGGCGGGGCCTGGCACCGCTCCCCGCGCCCCGGCAGCACCCACCGGCCGTGCCGCCGCTCCGGGCAGGCGGCTGCGGCTGCTGCGGGTCCCGGGACTCCGGCCCGCGCCGCCCCGGGCGCCGCAGCCTCGGCAGCGCGTCCCCGCCGCCGCCGGGCTCCATGTTGGGCCGCTCCGGCAGTGACGCGGTGGGGCGGGAGCGGGGCGGCCGCGACCGCCCCGGCGTGAGGGGCAGCGGCGGCGGCGGCGGCGGCGGCCGGCCCCAGCGAGCGGCCGGGCCGAGAACCCGCCGGCACGGGATGCAGAAACAGCTGCGGTAATTGCACTGATCCCCCTGGAGAGGGGGAGCAGTGCCCTGTACAGCCGAGTGTCGCAGGGAAGGCTGTGGCGCCGAAATTATTCCAGAGGAAAAAAAATATATATATAGAAACTCTGTGCGTAGAAATGTTTTCCTTATCTGCCAACCAGATGTTCTCGAGGGCAGATGTTAGGGAAAAATCTCAATTTTTGTAACACAGACCAGTGGTGTGGGTTTAAAAGGATTGGAGCATGGTGCCAATAACAGGAAGTTCATAGGTTCGATCCCCGTAGGGCCGTTCACTCAGGGGTCGGATTCCATGGTCCTTCTGTGTTCCTCCCAACTCGGAATATTCTGTGATTCTGTGAAATGCTAAGCCCTGGGGGGTTTCCAGAGCCACGGGAATCCTGTAGCACTCGAGACTGCAGCTCGCAGCTGGAAATGATAAACATATTTGCAAGACAAACTAGGTAACAGTTAAATAAACTACTAAAATGGCAAAATAGATTGTTGCAGTTCTGTAGTTGATTTCTGCATAACTAGATACAGTCACATCAGCATGTTTCTGCAAACAAAACCTTGCAACCAATTATATTACTGGGGCTTTCTTGTTTATTCACATGAACAAACTCAAAACTAGTCAATTTTGCTGGCAGGTTAACCTTAGGTCTGGTCCTTATAAGAATACTATGAATATTAAGAGTACTGTGAATATGTGTACTATATCTTCTGGGGTGTGTTCAGTGATTAAGCCATTAATATGGCTTTAAAAATTGAAAATTGTTACTAACAGTAATGATTCATTAGGTTAATTAGATGATCCATGTGTTTGTTACAAAGCCTGTGCTTTCTCAGAGAAAATTGTGTGGTGTAACATTCCGAGTAAAGCAAAAATCCTGCTGACTTCAATGTGGAAGTACCTATCAATACAGCAGCTGTTATGTATAGCTTTTCTTTACAGTGGGATTAAACATAGAAATATTCAATAAAAGCTCAGATTATTATAAGGGAGACTAATTTCAGTATGTGTGTTTTACTGACCAAAATCAAATTTACAGTCCTTCTAGCTGTATATAGATCAAAGTTCAAAATTACAAGTGTTCAATAACCTGATTGTACATTTCCTCTCAGAAGGCAAAATATTTTGCATTAAAACAATGATTAGGAGGAATGAGCAAAATTTTCACTTACCACATGCATTCTTTGCATATTGTGCAGTATTTTTCAATAGAAATGCCTTGCAGATAATTCCTCTGTAGTTTTACATTGAGAAAACAGGAAAATCAAAAAGAATGGAATGTAGGCTGTGGTTAAATAATTATATATTTTATCAGTAAAACCTAAAAAATTTGAGGCTATCCTAAGGGGTGCCTAAACTAACTGGTAGAAACTAATTAGGGTTAAAGCTAAACTTTTTGTGACTTGCACTATTTTTAAGCAGTTCTAAACCTCCTGGATAACTGATATTTTCCTAAATATACTATTTTTTGTTTTATTAATGAGTGAGATCCTAGGGAGAAAGGAAAACAGGGTTCTGATCATTCTTTATTACTGCTCATTGAATCTGAGTAAATTCAGCCTAAAAGATACAAGAACAGAAAAAAAAAATACTATTTTTCTTTCTCTGCAGAGACAGGCCTTCATTTACATCTGAATTTCATGTGAGAGTTGTCATAGTAAGTAGAAATTGTTTTCCCAGCCTCAGAACATGTATCACATAAGGGCCAACTACACTGCAGTCCGTAGTGACTACAGGGATTATTCTTTATGTAGTTCAGTTGAATATTTTGAAGTTAGCAGCTCATGGAGATCAGAGCTCTGCTTTCTCTTATCAATGAAATAGAGGTTTCTTTGTTTTATTTCCTTTGAGTGAAATGACTACCTCAGCCTTCACTTTCATCTTAGTGATTCAAATAAGAAACAATGGAAATGTTCATGTACTTTGCAAAAGCTACTCATAGGATATATCTTTGATTTAAACGTAGCAATTAAATAAATATATATGCTTAGAAAGGTTAAGATCTGTCAGTGTTGTTAAACTGAACACTTCTGTTTACCTACAGAGTAGGTATTGTGCAAAGAGCTGAAATAAGAGCTTCCTTCCTGGACTCACTATTGACCTTAACTGAGACCGCTGATGTTCTGTTTGTAGAGCTGAGATGTTTTCTGTGATCTTTTCACAGAGCTTCTCTGATTCAGAAATTATTAATCTGCCAAAGAATAGATAACGATCGGGAGCTGAACCAAGACTGTCACAATATGAACAACATAATTAACAAAGTATTTAATCAACAGGCCTATTATGGATAATTAATTCTTCCAAATTAATGTTTAAGAATCCCTACACAAATGTTAGGAATAATTTTAAAATGTGATGCTTGATGTGATAACTTTAGTTAAAAATCTGTGAAATAAATTTAAGAGTTTGAAGATTCAGGGAAAGAAATGTACAAAGGGCAGAGTTTGCGGCAATTTTTTTGTAATCTATATTCCTGGTCTTTTGCATAATGTGATTAAGTTTTCACATCTTGGGAACTGAATTCAACGCCTTCACATTCTTTTATTTTAAATAGAAATAATGCTTTGTATGTTAGTTGAATGTCTTTAAATATCCAGGTTTTATGGTTATAAGCTGAATTTTTGCAATCTATTTGGATATTTTGAATTTTATTTTCTTGATGCTCACTGAATATTTGCTGCTTAGTGATAAGTTGGTTATATGTTGATTTACAAGTAATTCTTAATGGCACACAAGTGTGGTAGCTTTTTGTGTCTCTTGACTGAGTAGATACAAAATTTAGAACTGGAATTGCCAGTTAAATTCTTACTTTTAGGAAGTCAAATTAGTTTTCTAGTATTCTAGCCAATATTCATAAAATTTTCCCTGTTACAGAAATCATTAGCTAAATTAGCCCAAATGTTATCTGTTCGCAAAAGACCTGGCTGGAATTTTCTTCATTCCATATCTAAGTAGGGCAGGCTCTTTCTTAATTTTTAGCTGAAGTAGGTTGGAAACAATATAGATGTATTTTTTTCATTTTGGGGAATGATTGTGCTATGCAGTCTGTGCTTTCTGTTCATGAACTAAGTAATAATAAAGTCAGGAGTAATCTGCTGCTGATCTTCCACTGTCAGGAGTAAAAGATTGGATGGGAAGATGTTCTCAATTCTTTCTGAACCTTGTCCTTGGACTGAAGTATTGTGCATCCTCTCTTACATTGGGTGAAAAAGTAAATACATTGTCTGATTCATCTAGGTAACAAAAAAGCCTCCAAAAATAGTACAAACAGTTCCCTTGCTTTCATCTTCCATTATTTTAACTATTTTAAATTCAGTACAATGGAAAAGGACTTAAAAGCACTTGGTGTGAATAACTTAATGAAGATCTGAAAAACAACTGTTGGGTAAAACTCAATTGACTCTGAATGTGGTCCATATACAAACTCCTGAACTCAAGCTGAATTCTCATGCGAGTATTAAATTGCATTGCAGCCTTGGATTGAACCTTTAGGAAGGAAACAATACATAGTATAGTGTGTTTGATACTAGGAAGGCTCTATATTTAAGCATGCAAGTATTTGAACTTGATGAAGACAAAGAAAGCAGAGAAGAAAAAGGCAGTTTAAAAGGTGAAGAGGGCATTTAGGAGAACAGAAAAAAATGCACAGCATAAAGCTATCTAATTTATCTAGGTATGTTATTCCTCACCTTGAAGGTTGTCAGCAAATTACAAAAAAACATAGCTGATCTGAAGTATTTATTTGATAGAAGACCATCTTAACCCTCAATTATTCTGATTAAAGATGTTAGATAGCTTCAGTGTTTGACATTTGCATTTTCATAATCAGCAATATGAATATAAGACTGTTCGGTTCATTCCATCTTTAAATGTGCAAACAAAACCAAAATATCCAAATTTATCCAAATATCCAAAAATCATCCTATTTATCTAAAGTAAATCTGGATAAACAATTCTCCTGCTATTAGCTAAGTAAATTTTCTTACTCTCTTCTAAATAATTTGTTGAGTTTAATTTCACTTAACTGTGCTTACTTTCTTGAGGGAGTACAATGGCTTTCTAAATGTTTTACCAAGACTACAGTTTAATGATACAAAGCGCTTGGCAGCAATACTCCAGCTATAATTGTTCTTGAGTACTCAATCCCCAGTAGTGGTATATAATACCTCTCAGTTTGAAGATTTGATCTGGTTTTAAAAGCCTGCAAAAATGCAGGGGGTGGTGGAGAGGCAAAAACAAATGGCCAGATGTGGGAGAGTGGGAAAGAACACTGAAACCAATTTCTTTACTTAGGAAAAAGTCTGTCCAACCCTGCATCTGTTACAATATGGAAATAATTTCATACTTAGGGCATTTAGGAACATGCTAAAGTGTGTTTTTTGAATAATAAACATCAGATCTAATTCACACAGGAAAGACTATCAATTGTGGGAATGGGCATTCAAGTGCATCATTCAACATTTACTGTAGAGGAGTTTTAGTCTCTTTTGGTGTGACACTTCGTTTCTCTATTGGTAGAGGTTAGCATTATTTTAGGCTGTGATGGGATATTGTTTTGCAGATGTCTAGTGTCACCACTCTGATTTGACTGATGTACTAAAGCAGGGACAAAGCTTCTTGGGCATGTGGAACTCACTGTTAACAAGATTGGAAAGCATAGCAACACCTCACTGCTGTGTATAGTGTGGGATTCAGCTCACTGTTTCTGTGGAGTTTTGAAGAAAAAAAGATAAACAAAAAAAGAAGCTCTTACACACTTCATTCATGGCAAAGGTTTTCTTACCATTGTCCTTCACAGTCCATTACCACTTACATATTCTGTAGGGCTAATTTTTCATGTATTTTGAACAGGTATTGTAATTCATTGGACAACAGAGTTAGAGGGAAAACTGACTTAAGTGCTAAACTGTCCAAGACAGACAGGAAGAGAAGGATGTTTCCTTTATGAAGACTGAATTCAGCAATTTGAATTTTTGGCTGGAGGATGATAGCACAATTCACATTATTGTTCTGGATACATAAATGGGTCTTTAAGAACATCAGCTGAGCTCAATTTTTTTCTTCTAATGGAAAACTTACCCAATGCTAACCTCTGAAATCACTTCAGTTCTGAAAGTTCACTAAAAGAGCTGTAACTGTCAAAGGTATAATATCCGAGCCAGAATTGTAGGAGCAAGAAGCAGAGGAAGTATATTTTCATGGTATAAAGATAAAGAAAGAACAGCCTAGTAGAAAATCCCATCCCAGTCCTGTCTCATCCACAGAAAACGTGAGCCTTTGTCATGTATGGATACTAAACAATATCAATAGGTGTGCATTCCTCCTGGAATTCCTTCTCATCAAGACAAAAGGCCAGCAGAAGGCCCAAAAAATCTGAGTATAAAAGTGCGCTTTTGTTTGTACATTAATGGCTGGAAGGGGCAAGTTCATTGTGTGGCTACTGCAAGGAACAGAATGAAGGAGCAAACACAGTGTGGTTTGAGCCACCTGCAATGCAGGAGGAAATCTGGTTCTTTTTTATTCAGGTTCTTTGTCACCTAACTGAGACGTAGTGATCTGAATACTTTCAAGTGGATTTCATGCTGCCAGAGAGGAAGATCCTGTTATGTTTAAAAGCACCTTTTTTCTAGCAAACCAAATATATGTGAGTTGAGTTTGACTGCAATTTGGCCTTAATTAGGCTTTTCAGACCAATTTTGTACTAATGCATTCCACATAAACGTTTGAGAAGAGGGTTTTAATGGGAGGGTATGCATACAGAAACCATTTCTGGTTTTCTGTAGCTTTCACATAATTTCAGTAACTATAGAACTACTGTTGGAAGTCAGTACTTTACTTCTTCTGTAGCTCAGACAAGAAGTTGTGTAGCAAGAACAATTACTACTAAGATTCTAATGAGAAGGGCAAAACACACCAAAGACTGGAAAATTCTAAATCTGCTAAAATAAATTTTAAAAGGAAAGATTTAAAAAAAGGATGTGTTTGGAAAGGACTAAGATCTGTGATCTTCAGTCCTGAAGAAAAAAGTCCAATTAAGCAAAAAGCTTGAAGGTTTTTCTGTCTTTGCTGTCTGAAAGCATAAAAGCATGAGGATTCAGGAATAAAAGAATTACATCCGAGAACTGCAAAGATTACAAGGGGCAAGAGGAACTGTATCTTAAAAGTGCAAGCGAAAGTTACTTGTAAAACTTCCTCTACTCCAAGTGAAATTTAGAATTCAATATAAAGTAACACTTCCTGTAAGAGTACTAATGGGAAACATAATATGCAGCTTTTCTTGGCTGACAGAGCAGAAAAGAAACTTAGAGGACTTATTCCTGTTTCTTTCTTAAAGGCTAATCTGGGAGAAGAAAGAGGTAAGTGTTGAATATATTGACTGAGATATCTTGTAACCTGTGAATACAGCTCAATGTACAGAACAATATGCCTTTTTTTCACTTATCTTGCACAAAAAATTTAATATTTGCTCTCTTATTTCCTTAATAAGGGTGAGTGTTACAGACTTAAAAGTTTCCGAATGAAATAATGTATTGGGTCTCTGTATCCTGTGGTCATCAGCTACGAGCCACTAATCACGTCAGGCTCTGACTACATTGTCCTGATGCAAGTGGATTATAGCACCAGGTGGGAGGATCAGTTTTCACTGGAGAAAGAACAAACTACTCTAATGCACCAGGACAGTGGAGGGCTGAGCACAACAAATAAGTAGCTGTCCTTTGAAGCTTTTTTCTTCCAGTGATTAAAGTGCCTGCTTGGGTGCTTATGCTATACTTACAATGAAAACCATTAGCTTTAAACAATTTTCTGATTTCTTCCTTCCCCCACCCTGCCACGAAGACAAAGATTTTCAATACACTATTTTAGAAAGGAGAATTTCAACAGTAAGTTATAATTATGGAACTATGTTATGCTGTTTAAAAAATCAGTAAAACATATTCTGGATTAAAACAATACTGGTAAATATACTGCTTAATTATTGAATAGAAATTAAGAGAGGTCCTGCTGTTTTTCTGTCTTCTTGAAGGATTCTTAATGCTCTGTGAGGGATTATGCCTCCCTCTGAAACAATTACCACCATATTTGTAGTGACTTCAATCTGATCAAGACATCATTAGCTGCAAGGAGTAAATTAAAGTCCAGATCTGTTATAAGGCGAAAAGCCAATTTCAGTTCTCTGAATACTTTATTAATTGTCTAATGAAAAAACATCGAAGTCAGGGTTTTTTTCACTGGAGAGCTGCATGTCAATAATGCAGCTATGCATGGATTAGAATAGCACTTGAAGCCTTCTACAATTAGAGGCATAGACTCATTAACCATACTACAGTATTCCCAGGAACATCCAGAAAGAAAAACATGCCTACAAAGCATATTGCTCCCTTCCCCTGCTTTCTGCCAGGTAATACTACTGCAGGAAGGACAGTCATAAGAGGGTAGGTTCTTGTGTAAGACAGAAAGGGTAGGAGATATTTTTATCCATGCTGGAACTTCTCCTGTTCAACATATTCACAAAATATCTGACAAGTGGACAGAAAATGTTTCCAATAACAGGGCTTACTTGCAACAGCCTCCCACCAATGACTGTCAAATAGAGGCATGCATTGGATTCATGTCTGCCAAATCATGAGGGAAAAAAATAAACATCAGCTGTTGCTGCTTTACCCTTTACACCGAGAGAAGAATAATTTACAGTATGTATTACTTACTCCACACAGGCACCACTAACCCAACCATGGCAATGCACAGGGGAGTACACCCTTTCAACCTATAAGAATAATAACAGTTAAAGTAGGAAAGAAAATTACAAGGCCACATCCTACTGATAGCTCATCTGCATACTGTTGATTTGATATTCCTTCTTTCCAGCTTTCAACTGATCCATGGTATCTGAACACTTAGCCTGCTGCTTTGCTTCACTCAGTGATCACTGCAGTAAATCCTGAGCATCAGACACCAGAACTCTGCATTGATAGGAGCCAAGACTGGTTATCTGTTAAACTGAATAAACAGAACTGTTGCACAATTTCAACAGCCAACACGTACTGAAGAGATCTTGAATTCATTAGGTGCTTTCTTGCACCCTTTAGAGTAAGACAAATATGCACTCAAAAAAACCAAACCCAGTGTATCACAGTTAATTTTTTAATATTTATACCTTTAAAAAATTCAATATTTATATGAATTCAGGTAATTTTACTATTGAGTTTTATAGAAGTGTATCTGCTTGAAATCACTAAGGAATTTTTAAAAACACCATATGACTGACTGCTTTATAATGCTGTATTTAACAGACTGTGTCATAATAGGAAACTTCCTACATGGAAGTAGTTCTGCATTTAAGTAAAAACCTATAAAACTTGAAGTAACTTTCCCCAGGCAGCTCTGTCTCTTACATAGCTGTAACATTTCTGGCCTAGCTAAATTGTTTTGGTGACAGCAATTCAACAGCCTCTTCAAATTATGTATAATTTGTGGATTTATTATACAATTATAAAGTGAAAAGATGCATTATATTTAAGGTTGTATTTGAAAGTAATCTATTTCTATTTATGACTAATTTTATCAGTCAATTTTTAGTCCATGTAACCACTTCTATTGAAGTCAGTTGCATTACTAATCAACACTTTCAATGTATAAAAAGTATCAATGTATACAAAGTAGCAATGCATACAAGGGTAACTAAAGTCTTTTAGATTTTCACTGAATGTGCAATATTGCATACATAAATATGACACCTTATTTATTCATTTTACAACACAGAATCAACAGTTTATTAAAGGCGGCATATGCTATCTATGTGCATAAAGTGGGTATCAGTCATACCATTCTGAATTTGCATAACAAAAACATTTATTCCACAGTGGCTTTTTGAATATGAAAATCCTATTTGCTCTGAAAATAGTTCCTGCAAAAAGCCACACAACCCAGGTCCTGAAAAACATTTATGCCTATAAATTATATTCATTACTGGAAGCATTTTAATACAGTACCAGCAATTATTTTCAATGCCTCTTAAAACTTGTACAAAAAATATACATTTTCCGTAAAATCAAAAAATAAAATATCTGAAAATGTTCTGCGATAAATCTAGAAAAAGGGGAGGAATCCAGTATTAAAAGTTAGATTCTGCTTTCACATACACTATTTAATGACACCAATGCATAATATCTGTACAGCTGACAGAAGAGTTTGACTCCATCTGCAAGATTAAAATGCAACAGCTATGAAAAGTAGGCAAACTTTATTTCACAAGTTTCACTTTGTCCTTTAAAACTCTAAATTTGGGATTGTTTTTCACTTTCTTATTGAATATGACTAGGATCTCCTCTTCTGTTTTGTGCTGTTCACCAGCTACTGCATAATATTGAGCTATCACCTGCACAAAGACAAGAGAAATGGATTTTAGTCCTTGAAGATTATTCCATTGTAAGCAATAATACATTTACATTACTGCATTAAAAGTGGCATGAAAGCTATTGTGCTATTATTCCTTTCCAGAACTAGCACTGAATTTCTTGTGTAATTTAGCAAGCAATAAAGAACCTGTCCTTCAACTGACATTCTGTTAATTTATATTCCATTTAAAATGTTGAACTTTGTTTATGCAAGCCAGAATTTTCTGAGTTTCAGCATTACACAAATTCACAAGACCAAAGATGATTTAAAAAAAAATAAATATGTTGTACAGTACCTTTTTTCTTAGTTTTTTAATTGAAATTTCATTGTCTGGAGCCTGTTTCAGAACTGCTTTGATGGTTCCCTTCCAGTTGAATTTACCTAGAAAATAATCAGGTGTACAACATGGTTAATAAAAGCAGGTATTCTGGGTCTTCTTCTCTACTAATAACCAGCCATCAATCTCCTAATTTTGGAATCAGTTTGCTACAACAGTTGTTAATTTGCTGACCCTACAATAGGAGGGTGTTTTAAGCATAAAGTCATTAGCTGTTCCTTAATATGTAATGGAATAGAGACAAAGGATCAACACAGCACTTCAACAACAGGGGTCAGAATTGTTTTCACTTAACTTCTGCACTTCAGCTATTAAGTAGAAGCTCTTAAATAACACAGGAATAGTTAAGATTCTGTCTCTTCACACTTAAAGCACAGGCAGTCAAATTTGACCATACCACCTTAAAAGGTCATTAACTGGTGGTTTCCAAATGAATTATCTGTATGTTCAAACAAAGAGTGTGTCAGGTGATAGGCAGAAGTAGGTTTATCTAAGCATAAACTAAGGTTCAACGTATCTGATGTCAAATTTATGATTCACTGAGCAACAATGAGGATATGAGAGATACCAAGAGGTCTAAGAGTTGTTACCTTTTTTGTTGTGTTGCCTAAGTGCAGGGCAGCAGGGAAGAGACCCACTGTGGTGAAACCAGTGTTCACTGGGACCAAGCATAGCCAATGGCTGCCAGCACAGCACAAACAACAAATTCGAGAAGTAATGAATTATCAGGTGTTAAGAGTAGCACAGGCTACTCTGGAACAGATGTGTATACTGAACATACACACATTCATGTATACTGAGGCACAATTTATTTCATGGCTTCCTACAGAAGCTGTATTTGTATCATGCATTAGGTCTTTTGCAGACTACTTTTGTAACAATCTAAATCGTTCCTTCAAGAATACCTTTATCTGTTCCCACATCATCTTCATTGTCATTGATGTTTTCTGTTTCCATGTCTTCTGAAATGCTTTCAGTTTTCATTCTCTTTGTTTTGGTATGAGGTTCCTCTAGAGATGGAATTGGACAGACACACACGAGAAAGATTTAAAACTAGAAGTTCTGACATGACTTAAGTTTTTGTTCTTGTAATATGAGTTTATATTTGCAAAGTGGTTCCAATTTTATAAAAGAAAAGTGCAATCATTGTTAAAAATAATCTAATTTGTATATCTAATGCACTACTTTTAAATTCTACTTAGGTAGTTTATTGAGCTTTGGAATTAAGAAAAAGCATCTTCAAAACAAATGAGAATATAAGTTGTATGATGGATACCTTCTACATGTTTATGTTTGCGTTTCTTTACATTTGTTTCCTCTTCTGTTTCACTGTGATTGCCATTTCCATTTATTTCAAATTCATCCTCCACACTCTCTTTTCCTTTTTTCGACTTTTTACTCTTTTTTACTTCTGCCTGGTTTTCTAATTTTAGATCTTTTTTCTCCTTCTTTTTGTTCTTTTGTCTCTCTTCTTTTCGTTCTCTCTTACTCTTTTTTCTCTCAGTTTTTGCCTCTGTAATTCTATTTTCTTCTGCCTTTGTATTTTCCCCAGTATCTGCAGACTCTTGCTCTTCCTTCTGTTGTGGTTTGTCTTGTTCTTTTTCATTTGAAATCTTTTATTGAAAGAAAGATTATTAGTTTTTACATGGGGTTTCTGACATTGCAATGTTCCTCTACTAGATCACTGGTAACTGTTCAGAACACTGATATCCTGAAATCAATTAAATTGCTCACATGTGATGTCACCAGTTACCTGAGAAGCAGCACTAGTGAAATAATGTGCCTGATTCTTTTAACTTAAAAGACTAAATGCTAATAAACACCACAGAAGAAACATTATCTTACCATATATGTAAATTTCTAGTTGAAGTAAGTGGCTACTGTGTTTTAAATTATTTGCTAAATGCAATTAAGAAAGTGACAACTCTTTAATTTACGCAAGCAAAAGTAAAGCACATTACAGCATAATGCAGAACTTACTCCCAAATACACAGCCCTTAAATAACAATCTCTTTTGCCATCCACTTCCCTGTCTTGGTCAACAAACCGTTATGGCATGATGCTAAGAAAGGCACTCCTAGTTGTTTTAATTGTACTTTTCTCAACATATTTGGTTTTCTTTTAACGTTCCTGGGCTCATAATGATTTTACTGTAGAATAATTAATATATTAATAAAATATTTAGTGATAAATTTAAGTTTTAATTTTAATAATTACAAGTGGAATAGAATTACTGAAATGTTAGTGTAGCTATTTAGAAAAAGAATACATCTTTATACAAGCAATTTAACACCATGTTTTTCAAAGAGTTATTTTAATTAAATTTGAATTCTACTTAAGAATTTCCATTGAGTATATACACTTCAAGGTATGTATTACAAATCACATCTTAAGATCTTTTTCAGAATTCTTAAAGATGAATTGAAATGTTATGTTATGTATTTTACTTTAATGCTATGCTCTGTGGACAGTGTAATTGTTTAAATTGTTTAGACAAAAGGTTTTCAGATTTAAGACTTTTTTAGAAATTACTTAAAGTCAAGGGAGAACTGCATATAACTTTAGTGAAGTTGCATCAACTCAGTATTAATGCTCCAGCTAAACAGTGTACTTTTGTGTCCACAGTTTATGTTATGTTCCTATCCTCTAGTAAACGTGCTTCTTTCTTCCCTGGCTCTTATGTTTGGATTCCTCAGGAAAACCGCAAATAAACTTAACTGGAATCATCAAATCAGAAACACAAAGCATCAACAGGGGATCAATGCCAAAGCTATGCCTACACTCTTCCTTAAAAGAATGTGGGGGAAAGTGGGAAGAGCATCTTCATATCAACTGAGAAACGAGAGCTTCTCCAACAGCTTTCGAGTAGCAGCAATAGATGCAAACAAACAAAACAACACCCTACCAAAACATGCTAAGCTAGGAACAAAATACCAAAGAAGTAGGCACTGACAAAAGGTCAGAGTGAGTCCACAATTTGAACAAAGAAGGGAGTAACTTGTGCCACAAACTGGAGGATCTCTCTCCCCACTAATGAAATAGGTAAACCATGTGCTTGTTAAATTCTCACTCCAATACACATAAATTTGAGACCAGGAAACTCTGAAAGATGTCTTTTTCCATCTTAGTGTGTGCTAAAAGATTGGAAC